GCCAATACTGACTGAACTTACCCTGGGCCAACGTGCTAAATTGAACACCACACCATCAGATCAAAGATGCTTTGCAGTAGTGACTCATAAAGATCAGCGTGTTTTCAGGGAGGCTCCTGTGCAATGTCTAGACATTAGAGAACTCATACCCTGTGCTCCTTGGTTTCTGTTTGCATGTAGGTCTTTCAAAGTAGTTCCTGCATACCATCTTCATGGAGTTTTCCATGTGCTTGTAATGGTTTAAGTAAAATGCTGTGGGCAACAGACCATGAGACCACTCCACAGGTCCCTGAGCTGCTGTGGGCAGTGGGTCCTGAGACCACGGCAGGCCTCGAAGGCAGCCGGTTCCCAGGCAGGAAGCTACGTGGCAACTGAGAGACCGGGATGGGTAGGCACGCCATGCAGAGTGAAGCTGGATATTAATTTAGTGGGTTATAGAAGAGAAGGGGAGAAGGAGGAAGAGGAGAGAGAGAGAGAGAGAGAGAGAGAGAGAGAGAGAGAGAGAGAGAGAGAGAGAGAGAGAGAGAGAGAGANGAGAGAGAGAGAGAGAGAGAGAGAGAGAGAGAGAGAGAAAAGAAAAGGGAAGAAATGGGGAGAAGGGAGAGACAGAAGCTGATTCTTTAAGAGAGAGAGAGGGGCGGGGGGGGGACTCAGGCTGGAAGCTGAAGATCAGCTTGCATCTGCAGAAGGGGGGGTTGGCTTGTCTCTTAAAGGGACAGAACAGACCATTACAGTGCTTCCCTTCTGTGACCCTTCCTGGACCTGTGTACACGAGGAATTAGGAACATTGTGTTGCTGTGTTAATTCATAATTGTTCCTCTTGTAAAAGTCGGCTAAGACTCCTGTCACTCTCTGTAGTATTCCTTCTTTGCCCAGTCCCTTGAGTTAATTCGAGATTTTTTTATTTGGACATAGTGGGTGTTGAAATAGGAGCGGCGGGGCTGCGTCCCCAGCACCCCAGCTGCCTGCTAGCTTATGCCCAGAAATAACAACACACAAATTGTATTCATTTAAACACTGCTTGCCCATTATATCTATCTAGCCTCTTATAGGCTAATTCTCACATATTAATTTAGCCCATTTCTAATCATCTATGTAAGCACCCCAAGATGTGCTTACCGGGAAGATTCTAGCCTATGTCCATCCTGGGTCGGAGGAGCTTCATTGCGTGCATCTGCCCGGGAGAGCAGAGCTTGGCATCTCTGCTCCAAAGAGCAGAGCTGTCGAGTTTACCCGGGAGAGCTGAGCATGGTGTCTCTGCTCCAGAGAGCAGAGCTGTCCAGTCTACCCGGGAGAGCTGAGCAGAGTCTGACCTCACTTCCTCTTTCTCCCAGCATCCTATTCTGTTTACTCCACCCACCTATGTTCTAACCAATAAAATGGGTCAAGCCAGTTTCTTTATTAGCCAATGACCTTCCTCCATCAAGTGGGTGAGGGGGGTGAGGTTAAAGTGGTAAAGTCTGTGGAGTGGCCTTCTTGAAATGGTTTTAGAAGTAAAAGTGTCGCCGGGTTTTGTGATGTTCAAGACAGGGACTTTTAGAAATAAATGAACCATTGATAGTGAGCTCACATTAATTTTTGTTACATTGAAAATATTTGGTATTGTGGGTGGGTGTCAAACAGAGAACACCCAATGTGATAGCATGATCTCACCACAGCAAACTATGATGGCACAGTAGTAACTTTGCTAGGCGAGAGCCCAATAAACCATCGCCTTACCCATCCCTCCATCAGGAGACAGGCCGGAAGGAGTGCTATGGGGTAATGCCTACAACCCCCAAAGAGCCCTGGCTATAGTCCCCAGACCTGACCTGCCAGCTCTCCAGCAAGATGAATGGAAGCACTCCAGCTGGAAGGTGTCTGAGCTGTGAGGAGATGCAGGCATCATGGTTCCAGTAGTACTTACAGGAGAAGGAGCTGGTACCCTGCTGACTAAGTGTACTCTAGGGGAGTGTTAGTGGCGGGCTTCTGTGTTAATGAGGCTGTATGCTTAAACCAGGCTGAACTTCCTTCATTAGTGGGCTTTAAGATAGCTCTGCATATGGATATGGTAAGGATCTGCAGGGCGGGAGTCTTCTGTATCATTTACATAGAAAAGTTCCGAGAGGGTATAGCAGTAATATAAAAATTATATCTTTTTATTGCTCTTCTGTTGCGCCAAGGTCTAGTCAGCGCTGAAATTCTGATGACATGTGAACACGAAGGAAGCCACCAGTTTTATATTTTCCTCTTGGTGCTTCCTTGATCAGCCTGTTGAATAACAGAAATGTTTTCAATGCCTCTGCAATTTGAATGGAGCTCTCCTGACAACCGTCCTCGCCGCCTGTTTCAGCAATAATGTGGAATTTTAAGGGAGGATGGGGAAGAAATTTGTAGGTCATGCAGAGAATTACAAAAATTTATGAGTAACATTCCTGTTTTTATGAAGGAAGATTTGCATAAAATTATTTAACTACAATTGAACGCTGAATTTACATTGTGCCTGTTTAACTCTGTTTGACGTGAAGTAGAAATGATTATCTAGCTATTTATCAAATTATCTTGAGAGGTGTGGGATGTAAGGTCCCTCACCACCCTCTTCTTGCTAATATCGGGAAGCACCTGGCTCAGATGTACCTGACGCACTGGCTTGTGGCTATCAGTGGCCACGTGCAGGATTTCCCGCGCTCCTCCACTGTGTGGCCATGCTCACTCACAAGCACCCCACCTGCTAAGTCCTCCTAGTCCCAGAAGAGGGTTTGTTTTAGTTGTTTTTTGGTTTTTGTTTTGTTTTTAAGAGAAAACTAGTAAACTATGGGAAATGCTTTGTCTTCTGTTTTTGTTGTTTTCTTATCAAAGCTAGTTAGTGAGACAAGCCCCACCTTCCCTTTGAAGTTGTGAAGTTGAGCTTGGTCTAAGGGGATGAGATACCATTACCACCCCTGTCAAATGGGAGAAAACCCAAAAGCCTTGTGTTTTTGCCAGGCCCTCATTCTGGGCGATCCTTTTTGCAAAACAAATGGTTTTGCACAGTTTCCTCTGCTGTATTTGTTTCTTCCTTCAGTGCTGAGATTATTCATTCCCAGCATAAACCTACACCTCTCAGTTAATACTTTCTGGAGGTTGTGAACTATTTCTGTAAAGTCTGCATGAACTATGGCCTGCAGTGAGGTCTGTGTGAGCCACCTAAGCCCTGCCCTGCACCTTTGCATCAGGAGTTAGATGGCAAACATCCTCAGTCACATGGTCTGTCCCAGTTGCTTTGCTCAATCATTGCCACAGCATTCATAGGCAGGGCTAAGGGCTGGGTGTGTGTTGTTTTAAGGAAATACACGGAGACCACCATTTGAATTTCATATATTTCCAATATGTTAACAAATACTGCTGTTGGGGTTTTTATTGTTGTTTTGACTCGTGTGTGTGTGTGTGTGTGTGTGTGTGTTGTTTTAAGGAAATACACAGAGGCCACCATTTGAATTTCATATTTTTCCAGTATGTTAACCAATACTGGTGTTGAGGTTTTTATTGTTGTTTTGACTTCTGTGTGTGCACACACATGCACAGCATGTTTGCAGTTAGCCATGTGGGTAGCTCGTGGTTAGAGCATAAGTACAGCTCACCTTTAACCCACAGGTCACTGTGGTGGCTTTGCAAGTTCTTAAGTTGGTTACATGTATTAGGACGGAAATGCCTGGTAGGCAAACACTGAAAAAGCTCAGCCCAGGATACCTTGTCCTTTCCACCAGATCCACACCCACCCAGTTCTCAGAGTGGGTGCAGTGATCAGTGAGCGGGAAGCCTGGGGTAGAGGGAAAGTGATCCCATTCTAAGTTTGTTCGTGGAACCTTGCTGATTGTGTTGATTGCCAGAGGGTGGTTTCCTTGAGTTGTGTGTGGCATGTTACTAGATTACTAACTTTCCTCTAGCCCTACCTGGCTTTGTCAAAGCAATATCTAATTTATAAGATCTAAGTGGGACTATCACTGAGTCCATCAGTAATCAAGTTTAAATAGGAAGTTTTACCAGCTGAGTGTGTGCAAAATCACGTATGCCATACGCCTAGAGCAAAAATGTTTGTTTTATCTTTGAATTCCAAGCAATCTGATTCAATTTGCCTCATCTTACTTGAGAGATTTGATGAAGCCTTTCCCAAAGGTTAGATCTTTTCAGTCACCGTGTTGTTCTTTATAAGCAGAACTATTTGACTTGATAAGGTTACTTTTTGTTTTACTTAAACCAATGTTGTTCTTGTTGTAAGACTTTCTAAATATGCACGCCACATTTTTCTGGGGCGGATCAGCTGTGGTGTATGTGCATTTTTAGCTGTGATAGCGTCATCCTAAAAGGGGAGTTCCTGGCACAGCTCAGTGTCCAGGGCCTACGGTCTAGTCCTGGGTTCCTCTGCTGCCTTGGGAGCTGCATTTCTTCTGACCCAAGCATCGTGCTGGGTCAGTCTCGAGCTCTGTCGCTCCAGAAGGCATGTTGTGTAACATTTGAACTCATTTCTGACCATATAATGTCAATAGAATTGTATTTCCATAATATATTAAAATGCAAATGCCACTATTTCATTATAATGCTTAAAAATGGGAGAATTTCTCACCACAAAGTTCAGTTAGAATTTGACCATTATTAGGCTGCAGCATTCCAGCTTTAATTTCCATGGGAAGGTTGCCCCAAGCCTATAGCTGCTCAGTTTATTGAAGTCTTCATTCCTGTGGTAGCTTGCTCTACAGAGGACTTCCTGATCAAGCATTTTGAATAGGTCCACAGCTGGGCACTGGTGGCAGAAGGGGAACCTTCAAGGTTAGCTTGTGCGTGAGATGCAGCTTGCCTCATCTTTTATGTGCTGCCAGGCCTTCTGTGTGAGTTCACTGGAGTCTAGTGAGAAGTGCCCACTCCACATGTTGGTCTGGCCCACTCACACTGTCTCTGAAGGAGTGGCACTGTTGCTTTCAAATTGTGCTTTGTGTGCTTAGTGTTCCAAGTATATGAACACTTGCCTGTTCTTTTTTCCTCAGGACCTGTCTGGCTCCATCGATGACCTCCCCACGGGAACGGAAGCAACTCTGAGCTCAGCAGTCAGTGCGTCCGGCTCCACAAGCAGCCAGGGGGATCAGAGCAACCCGGCTCAGTCTCCTTTCTCCCCACACGCATCCCCCCATCTCTCCAGCATCCCTGGGGGGCCATCACCTTCTCCTGTTGGCTCTCCTGTGGGAAGCAACCAATCTCGGTCTGGTCCGATTTCCCCTGCAAGTATTCCAGGTACTGTCATCCTTAATCATCTGCTGTCCCCATCCTATGTCCATCTGTCATCCCCTCCCACCTCCCGGTGTGAAGCCAGGTCTGGCCTCAGCAGCATCTCTCACTCTTTGCCTTCCTAGTCACTCTGTTTCCATCCTTTATGACACAGATATGATTGATTACACAATAGCGATATAACTGCATTTCTCACCACACATACCAGAGTCCCAGTTTCTAAAGAATCTCAACAAATTAATAATAAATGACCAAATACCTTCTGATGAGTCGATGGGACGTTCGGAGTGAGATGGCTGAAGACTACAACTGCCTTCAAATGTTCAGCTTGCCATAGACTAAACCTTCACTGTCAGCTGCCTTACAATGGCTCTACAGTGAAGAGCCTCCATCAGTAGTGTCCTGGGGGAGACTGCTGGCTGGTGGTGACCACGTGTCTGGTTCTGTTGGATGGCTATAAGGTGGCAGTTCTTCTCTAGAGTGTTTTCAGAGTTGATGTTCATCTATGTCTGATCACAGTCACACGGTTGGTGCCAACTACCGTCCAAAGTGCCATGCTGATACAAGCTCACACCCTCTTTCTGATAGAGTGCATGTTCTCGCTAACTCCTGTGTTCAAGTGACATCTGTATCTTGTGTATGCGTATGTGTGTGTCTGTGTTCTCTGGGGGTTCTTACTTTAACCACATTCATCTTTCTGGTATTGTACCAGCTAACTTTTGCTAACATGATACAGGTAGTTTCCAGAGAGCACCTTCCATTAACCTATTAAAATGATAACTCAACAGCTAATAAACTTCTTAATAATTTATCATATTCTCCCCATAATCATAGGTGATAATTTTACTATTTTATTCCTTTCATGTTTTGAAGATGTGTATTGTATAACATTTATAAATAATACTAGTTATACGTAGAATATTATGTATAACAGGCAATGTGTTATTTATGCAGTGTGATTATGAAGTGAATGTAATCTAAGAACTGGTGTGCTGGGGCTAACCACATCCACCTGCCTGCTTGTTCCTTATCCCAGCACCATTTCCTCTCCCTGCCTCAAGTATTCTCTATATATTTTATCACTTTTTAAAAGAATTTTATTTATTACATTTTTAGAGTTTATGTTATTATTTTGATTTACTATATTTTTTATGGACACGTATCCTACTTAGGATAGCGATAATATTTCATCCATGCCGAGGGACTGTTAATAGCCACACACAACAGCCCTTAAAACCAGGCAGGTCTCCTAGCAAATCAGAAAACACGGTTTCCTCGGCCACACTCTGTGGGGTGTGTTTTAGCTTGCCTCTGTTGAAATTAAATGTTACGTTTTTATGATTCTGCCATAACATATTAGGCGATACCGTTGAAGTTTGGGTCCATTTGGCTAAAGCATTTCACTGTATTCTCCTTTCTAAGTCACTTCCCAATGATCTGCCTCCTGCAAAGACACAGAGTGCTGTATTGGTTGTGTAAAGTGTGACACACACACACTTCTTGGGGTTCTTCTAAGCAGAATAACCGCCTAGAACATCTGGTGAACAAATTTAGCATTTGTCAAGCTCTCCCCAGTAAAATAGTGATCTCACCTCCTCTTCCAGCCGCTTCTTAGCTGAGTAACCTGAGCAAGCTACTGAGTGCCTCTGGCCCAGTTTCTCCACCTGTGGCACAGCAGGTCTCATTTGGTTACCACACAGATTCCTGGGACTGCGGGACAATACAGTTACAGGACAGATATTCGGTGTGTGGTGTTGGTAGGAGACGTGTGTTTCATTTTGCTTAGGCTGTAATTAATTCTGAAGTGTTGCCATAAATGTCTTCTAATGACAGATTTGGTCACGTTTAGTGTGCAGTTTCTCATGTTACAGCTCAGGAGTTCCTCACGGGGGTTCATGAAGAAAGGCCTTTGAATGCACAAATACAGGACCTGGTCCCCCAGCTCTGCCCACGCTGAGTCAGCACCCGTCAGTGCTCTGCTTGTGGCTGACCCTCCCGTCTGTTGATTTTGCTGGCCTTGCCTCCTGAGCCCCTTCCCAGATTACTAACAAAGCACAAATGTAGATCAGCCCGCCCTTTGCAACTTCCGTTTAACACAGAGGCTTTTGTCAGCCGTCTGCTTGTTCTGTAAGTGCAGCCAAGGTTGAAGATGGGGAGACCAGTGGCTGTGCAAGGGCAGGTGGCGGGCAGGTGCCGTCGTGGCCTGGGAGACACTGCTGTTGTGCAGCTTCAGCGTTTGCAGTGTTTACCCCTCTTCTCTGCTTTTGTTCATGGGTTTCTAGGGGTGTGAACTTCAGGGTGTCCTGCCCACGGTCCTCTGTGGGTAGAGTTAAGTCGCTCTCATCTGACTGCAGATGGCCACGGATGGGAATGGGCTAGGACAGAAAACTACAAAGTTAGGTATTCACATGAGTGCCTCACAAAAGGGGCATGGCTTTCTGGCCTTTCTTGTGTGGTGTTGGTTTTTACTGTAGGAAGATAAATCAGAGGCATATCCTAGCCATAAGAGCAAAACAGCGTTTTACCAAATACAAAGGCCAAATCCCTCCTACCCATTTTTGCTTTCTTTTTTGTTTTTGTGTTTGTTTGTTTTTCTGATTGTATAAGCATTGCTGTATGTTTTGCTGATGGAGGTTGCTTGCTCACCTTCCTCTCTGACTGCCAGCTGTCCAGATGAGGTCAAGCAAGAGTCCAGAGAGCTTGAGATAAGAATCTAGTGAGGAGGGACCTTGACTCAAATCTTTTAAGTGCTACCCTCTGCCCCTCCCTTCTGTACTTTCTTTCCTTTTCAGTAAGCCCCCTTCACTCTGCAGCTGGTGTGTGTGCAAACACGCATGTGCGTGCATACACACACACAGCTCCTGCACACCTGTCCCCTTCCCAGGAGGTGACACCCCTATGCCTGGCAATGGGCTCTAGTTTCTGTCCTTTGCAAAAAAGCTTGCCAGGATAGAGCTTGCAAAGGAAGCTTGGCCAGAGATGCTCTGTGCTCTGGGAACTCCTTTTCCTTAGAGTTTGACCTGATTCCTGAACTGAGCTCTGTCATTTCAGCTCCTGCAGGGTGAATTGTTCATCTAGCTGGCCCTCAGACAACAAATGCCCATGTTTTAAAAAGGATAGTGGCACGGGGGATACAAGTTGCTGGGCTGCTCTGTGATATTTAAAACACCAGCCCCTCCTCAACAGGATACCAAGTGGCTTCTAGAGCTGCAAACACAAAGAAGACATTCTGGTCAAACATTAGAAAGGATGCTAAAGCCAGGAAGAGAAGGATGGATGGCAGCGTGGAGTAGTCATGGCCAGGGTGAGCAGGTATCCCCTGAGAGCAAATAACCACTCCTGATGTTTGACGAGATGAATGTCTGTAAGGTGCACAGCAGAGGGGCAAACCAGTCCTTTCTCCATAGATTAAGTCTTTCAAGGCTCAAGCCAAGCCCATTATGCGGAAACACATTATCCACATTTTAATTTATATTTAATAGAACTAAGTAAATAAACACGGGTTTATTTCTGTATGTAAATGTTTCTGGGCCAGTTTTCTTTCAGGATTGCAAGTATGAGGCTATATGTGGCCTTGCAGGAACAGCAGCACCGTTCTGTGTCTGCACTAGCCTCCTACCTGCTAGCTCATGTCCCAGCATCTAGCACATGATCCTTTTTGGCTTCTCTGAAGGTAGAAATTCTGTGACAGCTTGTTCCAAGGGGAATGCATGCTGCTTATTGGCAAACTGAGCAAGCAAAAGAAAAAAAAATTAAACACAAAGTGCCATTGATATATCCATGTTTCTAATCTGTGGCAACACAGAAAACATCAATTCAGCATTTCTACAGACTGAGAGAACTTAGCCAGGGTTTTTCCCCCTTACAATGTAAAATATTTGCGTGTTAAACAAAGCAGTAATTTCCCATCTTTTCCAAATGATGCTTAGCAACAGCGAGAGAAGCAGAAACAGATTTGGTTTTGAGAGGTGGTGTGCAGCCCTGGAGAGCTTGGGTAGGGCAAGTGTGACATTCAGCCTCCCCTTAGCAGACTGTAACATGTAACAGTTCATACCGAGGTTCGCCCCATTAGAAAGGGCTCTGTACTGGTGATCACACTCACACACACACACACACACACACACACACACACACACACACACACACATGCACACACCAGCCTTGCCCTCTGGCACCTGCGACTACCACCGGCCTGGCAATCTCCTGGCTGGAAGATGAGTGTGGCTTCTGCTTTCCAAAGATGCCGGTCTTCAGTTCCTCTAACCCCTTTGAAGTTAGGTCTCTCTCCCCCTCCATCCATGTTCAGGGACTGTGAGGACACTGGGAATGTCTCCAATGTCATTCCCTCCCGACTTTTTATCCCCCCATACCTGAGCCCCTGCCTCCCTCATCCCTCACCTCTGGTACCTGTCTGTGTGTTCTTCACTGCATTGTCTGCTGAAGTGAGTCAGCTGAAGTGAGTTAGACTCCTTGTTCATTTCTGGGGCACAGTGGACTGTCAGGGGTGCATGCCTTCACAGCTGCACACAGCCTCTGGAAACACCCTTGCCATTGACCTGCTGAGGACTCAGGACTAGAGGGGTACAAAGCTGTATGACCTAATTGAAGCCTAGAAGACAGTTTCAAAATCCATTTTGCTACATTTTAGGAACCAGTGTCTAAATGAATAGTTTAGAGTCAAGGTGTTCGTAAACTCTTCTGTCTGAATGTTCTTCTAAAATGGAGTAAGTCGTTGATGTGGAAGGGATGCTAGGTCTCTCTCCCCATCTTCTGATAATCCCGACCCAGGAGTATTGTGATGTGCTGATTGATTATAGCCGTTCGGTCTGGTACTAATCAATTTCATCACTTAGTCTCATTCACATGCTTGCTCCTTTGATTTCTCTCCCATAGCAGGATGATGGAGGTTGTCATTGACTAATGGAGAGCAGCATTGACTGCGGCACGAGACAAACGCAATGCCGACACCGATCCTGAAATGCATTAATCTTTAATAATCCGCATCT